GAAAAAGGAGGCAAAAAGCAAAAAGAAAAGTGGAGAAATAAAAAGAGGAGGCAGAAGAGCAAAGAAAAGAGAAGGAAAGAAAGAGCAAAGAAAAGAGGAGGCAGAGAGATCAAAAAAAAGAGGAGGCAGAAAGCAAAAAAAAAGAAGCAAAAGAAAGAGAAAAGAAAAAGAGGAGGCAGAGAGAGCAAAAAAAAGAGGAGGCAGAGAGAGCAAAAAAAAAAGAGAAAGCAAAGAAAAGAAAAAAGAAAGCAAAAAAGAGCAAAGAAAAAAGAAAGAGAAAAAGAAAAAGAGGAGGCAGAGAGAGTTAGAAAAGAAAAAGAGGAATAAGAGAGAGAAAAAGAAAAGAGAAAGCAAAGAAAGAGAAAAGAAAAGAGGAGGCAGAGAGAGCAAAGAAAAAAGAAAGCAAAGAAAAAGAAAGAAAAAGAAAGAGAAAAGAAAAGAGGAAAGAAAGAGAGAGCAAAGAAAAAGGAGGCAGAGAGAGCAAAGAAAAAAGAGGAGGCAGAAAGAGAGCAAAGAAAAAGAGGAGGCAGAGAGAGCAAAGAAAAGAGAATAAATGAAGGTAAAAGAAAAAGAAAAAGGAGGCAGAAAGAAAAGAAAAAAAGAAAAAGAGGAGGCAAAGAGAGCAAAGAAAAAGGAGGCAGAAGAGAAACAAAGAAAAAAAAAGAAAAGAGAAAGAAAAGAAAAGAAAAGAAAGAAAGAGAGAGAAAGAAAGAAAGAAAAAGAGGAGGCAGAGAGAGGAAAGAAAAGAGAAAGCAAAAAAAGAGAAAAAAAAAAAAATAGAAAGAAAGAAAAGAAAGGCAGAGAAGAAAGAAAGAGATGAAAAGGAAAAGAGGAGGCAAAGAGAAACAAAGAAAAAGAGGAGGAAGAGAGATTAAAAAGAAAAGAGAAAGCAAAGAAAAGAAAAAAAAGAAAGAAAGCAAAGAAAAGAGAAATAAAAGAGAGAAAAGAAAAAAGAGGAGGCAGAGAGAAAAAAAGAAAACTAAAAGAAGAGCAAAGAAAGAGAGGCAGAGAGAAAAGAAAAGAGAAAGAAAGAGAAAAAAAAAGAAAGGCAGAAAGAAAAAAAGAGGCAAAGAAGAAAAGAAAAAAGAAGGAAAGAGAGCAAAGAAAAGAGGAGAGAGATAAAAAAAAAAGAGAAAGAAAAGAAAGAGAAAAGAAAAAAGAAAGAAAGAAAAAAAAAAAGAAAGAGAAAAGAAAAAAGAAAGAGAGAGAGCAAGGAGGAGAGAGCAAAGAAAAAGAGAAGAGAGAAAAAGAAAAGAAAGAAAAAAAGAAAAAAGAGAAAAAGAAGGCAGAGAAACAAAGAAAAGAGAAAAAAAAAGAGAGAAAGAAAAAGAAAGAAAGAAAAAAGAGAAAAGAAAAAGAGAAAAAGAGGAAAATTAAAAAAAGAAATTAAAGAAAGAAAAAGAAAAGAAAAGCAAAGAAAGAAAAAGAATGAAAAAAGCAGAGAAAAGCAAAGAAAAAAAGAAAAGAGAAAAAAGAAAAGAGAAAAAGAGAAAGAGAAAAGAAAGAAAGAGAAAAGAAAAGAGAAAGAAAAAGAGGAGGGAAAGAGAGAGAGCTTTCCAAAAAAGAAAAGGCAGAGAGAAAAGAAAAGAGAAAGCAAAAGAAAGAGAAAAGAAAAGAGGAGGCAGAGAGAGCAAAAGAAAAGAGGAAAGAGAGAGCAAAGAAAAGAAAAGAGAAAGCAAAGAAAGAGAAAGCAAAAAGAGAAAAAAAAACAAAAAGAAAAAAGAAAAGAGAAAGAAAGAAAAAAAGAGGAGAAAGCAAAGAAAAAGAAAAGCAAAAGAAAAGAAAAGAGAAAGGAAAGGCAAAGAAAAAAAGAAAGGCAGAGAGAGCAAAGAAAGAGGAGGCAAAGAAGCAAAGAAAAGAGGAAAAGAGAGCAAAAGAAAAAAGAGGAGGAAGAGAGAGAAAAGAAAAAAGAGAAGGCAGAAAGAGAAAAGAAAAAAAAAGGAAAGGCAAAAGAAAGAAAAAGAGAGAAAAGAATCCTTTCAAAAAAGAGGAGGCAGAGAGAGAAAAGAAAAGAGGAGGCAGAGAGAAAAGAAAAAAAGAAAAGAAAAAGAAAAGAAAGAGAAAAGAAAAGAGAAAGAAAGAAAGAAAAAAGAAAAGAGGAGGCAGAAAGAGCAAAGAAAAAAAGGCAGAGAGAGCAAAGAAAAGAGAAAGCAAAGAAAGAGAAAAGAAAAGAGAAAGCAAAGAAAGAGAAAAGAAAAAGAGAAGGCAAAGAGAGAGCAAAGAAAAAGGAGGAGAGAGAGCAAAGAAAAAAGAGGCAAATTTCAAAAGAAAAGAGAAAGCAAAGAAAGAAAAAAGAAAGAGGAAAAGAAGAGAAAGAAAAGAAAGAGAAGCAAAAAAAAAGAGAAAGCAAAGAGAGAGCCAAAGAAAAGAGAAGGCAGAGAGCAAAGAAAAGAAAGAAAGAGAAAAGAAAATAAAGGAGGCAGAGAGAGCAAAGAAAAGAAAGCAGAGAGCAAAGAAAAGAGGAGGCAGAGAGAAAAAAAAAAGAAAGCAAAAGAAAAAAAAGAGAAAGCAAAGAAAGAGAAAAGAAAAAGAGGAGAAAGAGAGAGCAAAAGAAAAGAGGAGGCAGATAAAGAGAAAAGAAAAAGAGAAAGCAAAAGAAAGAGAAAAAAAGAAAGTAAAAAAAAGAGCAAAGAAAAGAGAGGCAAAGAAAGAGAAAAGAAAAAGAGGAGGCAGAGAGAGCAAAGCTCGTCTAAATCTAAAAGAGAGAGAAAAGAAAAGAGAAAAAAGAAAGAGAAAAAAAAAGAGGAGGAAAGAGACAAAGAAAAAAAAAAGGAAAGAGAGCAAAGAAAAAGAGAAAAGAAAGAAAAAGAAAAAAAAAGAAAGAGAAAGAAAGAAAAGAAAAGAAGAAAGAAAAGAGGAAAGAAAAAAAGAAAAAAGAGAAAGAAAGAAAGAAAAGAAAAGAGAAAGACAAAGAAAGAAAAAAAAAGAGGAGAGAGAAAGAAAGAAAGAAAAGAAAAAAAGAGAAAAGAAAGAGAGAAAAAGAGAAAGAAAAAAGAGAAAATCAAAGAAATCAAAGAAAGAAACAAAAAAGAGGAGGCAGAGAGAGCAAAGAAAAGAGAGGAGAGAGGAAAGAAAGAGAAAGAAAGAAAGAGGAAAGAAAGAAAAGAAAAGAAAAGAGAAAGAAAAAAGAGAGAAAAAAAAGAGAGGAGAATTTAAAAAAAAAGAGAAAGCAAAAGAAAGAGAAAAGAGAGAGCAAAGAAAGAGAGAGGAGGCAGAGAGAGCAAAAGAAAAAGAGAAAGAGAAAAGAAAGAAAGAAAAGAAAAAAGAAAAGAAAAGAAAAAAGCAAAGAAAGAGAAAAGAAAAGAGGAGGAAGAAAGATAAAAGAAAAAGCAAAAGCAAAGAAAGAGAAAAGAAAAAGAGAAAAGAAAGAAAGAAAAAAAAAAAAAGAAGAGCAAAGAAAGATTAAAAAAAAAAAGAAAGAAAAAAGAAAGAGAAAAAGAAAAGAAAAGAGAAAAGAAAAAAAAAGATAAAAGAAAGAGAAAGCAAAGAAAAGAAAAGAAAGAAAGAAAAAAGAAAAGAGAAAAAAAAAGAAAGAGAAAAGAAAGAGGAAAAGAGAAGGCAAAGAAAAGAAAAGGCAAAGAGAAAGAAAAGAGAAAGCAAAAGAAAGAGAAAAGAAAAAAAGAAAAAAAGAGAGAAAAAAAAAGAGGAAGGAAGAGAAAGCAAAGAAAAGAGAATTCAAAAGAGAAAAGAAAAAAGAAAGCAAAGAAAGAGAAAAGAAAAAGAGAGAAAAAAGAAAAGAAAAAAAAGGAGAAAAGAAAAGAGAAAGCAAAAGAAAGAGAAAAGAAAAGAGAAAAGCAAAGAAAGAAAATGGAGAAAAGAGGAGGAAGAGAAAGCAAAGAAAAAAGAGAAAGCAAAAGAGAAAAGAAAAAGAGTTATCAAAAGAAAGAGAAAAGAAAAAAAGAAAGAAAAGAAAGAAAAAAGAAAGAAGAAAAAGAGAAAAAAGAAGAGAAAAGAAAAGAGAGAAAAAAAAAGAGAAAGAAAAGAAAAAAAAAAAAGAGAAAGAAAAAGAAAGAGAAAGAGAAAAGAAAAGAGAAAGAAAGAAAGCAAAAAAAAAGAGAAGGCAAAGAAAGAGAAAAGAAAAAGAAGGAAAGAGAAAGAAAAGCAAAAAACAAAAAAGAAAGAAAAGAAAAGAAAAGAAAAGAAAGCAACAAAAGAAAAGCAAAGAAAAGAAAAGAAAAAAGAAAGAAAAGAAAAAAAGAAAAGAAAAAAGAGATGCAAAAAAGAAAGAGAAGAGAGAAAAAAAAGAAAGAAGAAAAGAAAAAGCAAGGCAAAGAAAGAGAAAAGAAAAAGAGAAAAAAAGAAAGAGAAAAGAAAAGAAGAAAAAGAAAGAGAAAAAAAAATTTTAAAGCAAAAGAAAAAAGAAAGAAAGAGGAGAAAAAAAAGAGAGAAAAAAGAAAAAAAGAAAAGAAAAAGAGAAAAGAAAAGGAGGAAAGGTTTGAAAAGAAAAGAGGAAAAAAGAAAGAAAAGAGAAAAAAAGAAAGAGGAAAAGGCAGAGAGAGCAAAGAAAAGAGGAGGCAGAGAGAGCAGCAAAGAAAAAGGAGAAAGCAAAGAAAAAAGAGAAAGCCAAAGAAAGAGAAAAGAAAAAAGAGAAAGCAAAGAAAGAAAAAGAAAAGAGGAGGCAGAGAGAGCAAAAAAAAGAAGGAGGCAAGAAAGCAAGAGAAAAAGAAAAAAGAGAAAAGAAAGAGAAAAAAAAAGAGAAAGAAAGAAAGAGCAAAAAAAAAGAAAGAAAGAAAGAGAAAAAAAAAGAGCAAAGAAAGAGAAAGAAAAAGAGAAGTTCCAAAAGAAAGAGAAAAGAAAAAGAAAGAGAAAAGAAAAAGAGAAAGCAAAGAAAAGAGCAAAGAAAAGAGGAGGCAGAGAGAGCAAAGAAAAAAGAAAAGAGAAAAAAAAGAAAAGAGAAAGCAAAGAAAGAGAAAAAAAAAAGGAAAAGAAAGAAATAAAAAGAAAAAGAAAAAAAGAAAGAGAAAAGAAAAGAGGAGGAAAGAAAAGAGAAAAAAAAGTCTTTAAAGAAAGAGAGAAAAAAGAAAGAAAGAAAGAAAGAAAGAAAAGAGAAAAAAAGAAAGAAAAGAAGGCAAAGAGAAAAAGAAAAAAAAGGAGGCAAAGAAAGAAAGAAAAAAGAAAGAGGCAAAGAAAGAAGAGGAAAGAAAAGAAAAAGCAAAGCTGGGAGAAAAGAAGATGAAGTTTTTTTTAAAAAAGAAAGAAAAGAAAAGAGAAAGAAGAATTAAAGAAAAGAAAGAAAGAAAAAAGAGAGGAGAAAAGAGAGAGAAAAGAGAAAAAAGAAAGAGAAAAAAAAAGAAAGAAAGAAAGAAAAAAGAAAAGAAAAGAAAGAGAGAGAAAAAAAGAGAAAGAGGGGAAGAGAAAAAAGAAAAAAAAGAAAAAAAAAAGAAAGAAAAGAAAGAAAAAAAAAAAAGAGAAAGCAAAGAAAGAGAAAAGAAAAAGAAAAAGAAAAGAAAAAGAAAAAAAAAGGCAGAGAAAGCAAAGAAAAAGAAAGAAAAGAAAGCAAAAAAAAAGAAAGAAAGAAAGAGAAAAGAAAGAGGAGGAAGGAAGAGAAAAAGAGAAAGCAAAAAAAGAGAAAAAAAAGAAAGAAAAGAAAAAAGAGAAAGAAAGAAAGAGAAAAGAAAAAAAAGAGGAGGCAAAGAGAGCAAAGAAAAAGGGAGAAAAGAAAGAAAGAAAGAAAAGAAAAGAAAAGAGAAAGCAAAAGAAAGAAAAAGAAAAAAGGAAAGCAAAGAAAGAGCAAAGAAAAAGAAATTAAGAGAAAGAAAGAAAAAAAGAAAGAAAGAAAAAAGAAAGAAAAAGAGAAAGCAAAGAAAGAGAAAAGAAAAAAAAGAGAGAGAAAAAAAAAGAAAAAGAAAGAAAAGAAAAAGAAAAGAAAGAAAGAAAGAAAGAAAAAGAAAGAGAGAGCAAAAGAAAAAGAGGAGGCAGAAGAGAGCAAAGAAAGAAAAGAGAAAGAAAAGAAAAGCAAAGAAAAGAAAAAGAAAAGAAAAGAAAGAAAAAGAAAGAAAAGAAAAAGAGAGGAAAGAAAAGAGAAAGAAAAAGAAAAGAAAAGAAAGAAAGAAAGAAAGAAAAAAAAGAGAAAGAAAAGAAAGAAAAAGAAAAGAAAAGGTAGGAGAGAGCAAAGAAAAAAAAGAGAGAGCAAAAAAAAAAGAGAAAAGAAAAAAGAAAAGAAAAAAAAAATAAAAAGAAAAGAAAAAAGAAAGAAAGCAAAGAAAGAAAAAAAAAAGAAAGAAAAGAGAGAAAGAAAAAGAAAGAAAGAAAGAGAGGAGAGAGAAAGAGAAAGAAAAAGAAAGAGAAAAGAAAAAAGAGGAAAGAGAGAAAGAAAGAAAAGAGAAAGCAAAGAAAGAGAAAAGAAAAAAGAAAAAAGAAAGAGAAAAGAAAAGAGGAGAAAGAGAGAGCAAAGAAAAAGAGGAGGCAGAAAGAAAGAAAAGAAAGAAAGAAAGAGAAAAGAAAAAGAGAAAGCAAAGAAAGAGAAAAAAAAGAGGAAAGGCAAAGAGAGCAAAGAAAAAAGGAGGCAGAGAGAGCAAAGAAAAGAGAAAGCAAAGAAAAGAAAGAAAGAGAGAAAAAAAAAAAGAAAAAAAAAAAAAAGGAGGCAGAAAGAGAAAAAGAAAAGAGGAGGCAGAGAGAGCAAAGAAAAAAGAGAAAGAAAGAAAGAAAAGAAAAAAGAAAGAAAGAAAAGGAAAGAAAAAGAAAAAGAGGAGAAAGAACAAGAGGAAAAAAAAAGGAGGAAGAGAGAGCAAAAAAAAGAAAAGAAAAAAGAAAGAGAAAAGAAAAGAGAAAGCAAAGAAAGAGAAAAAAAAAAAGAGGAGGCAGAGAGAGCAAAAGAAAGAAAAGAGGAGGAAAGAGAAAGCAAAGAAAAGAAAGAAAGAAAGAGAAAGAAAAGAAAAGAGAGAGCAAAAGAAAAGAAAGGAAAGAGAGAAAGAAGAAAAAGAAAGAAAAGAAAGAAAAGAAAAAAGGAAAGGAAAGAGAAAAAAGAAAAAAGAGAAGGCAGAGAGAGCAAAGAAAAGAGGAGGAAAGAGAAAAAGAAAAAGAAGGAAAGAAAGAAAGAAAAAGAAAAAGAAAAAGAAAAGAAAGAAAAAAAAAAGAGGAAGAGAGAAAGAAAAAAAAAAGAAAGGAGGCAGAGAGAGCAAAGAAAAAGAGAAGGCAAAGAAAGAGAAAAGAAAAAAAAAAAGAAAAGAAAAAAGAAAAGAGGAAGAAAAGAGAAAAGAAAAGAGAAAAAAAAAGAGAAAGAAAAGAGAAAGCAAAGAAAGAGAAAAGAAAGAAAGAAAGGAAAAGAAAGAAAAGAAAAGAAAGAGAGAGAAAAAAAAAAAAGGCAGAGAGAGCAAAGAAAAAAGAAAGCAAAAGAAAGAAAAAGGAAAGAAAGAAAAGAAAAAAGAAAAAGAAAGAAAGAGAAAGGAAAGGAAGAAAGCAAAGAAAAAAGAAAAGAAGGAGAAAGAGAAAAAAAAAGAAAGAAAAAAGAGAAAGAAAAGAAAAAGAGGAAAGAAAGAGAGAAAAGAGAAAAAAAGAAAAAAAGAAAGAAAGAGCAAAAGAAAAAAGAAAGGGGCAAAGAGAAAAAGAAAAAGAGAGGCAAAGAAAGATTTAAAGAAAAGAAAAGAGAAAGACAAAAAGAAAGAGAGCAAGAAAAAGAAAAAGAGAAAAGAGAGAGCAAAGAAAAAGAGGAAAGAGAACCAAAAAAAGAGAAAAGCAAAGAAAGAAAAAAAAAGAGAGGAAAGAAAGAGAAAAAGAAAAGAGGAGGCAGAGAGAGAGAAAAAAAGAGAAAGGCAGAAAAGAAAAGAGAAAGCAAAGAAAGAGAAAAGAAAAGAGAAAGCAAAGAAAGAGAAAAGAAAAAAGAGAAAGAGCAAAGAAAAAAGGAGAAAAGCAAAAAAAAAAGAGAAAGAAAGAGAAAAGAAAAAAGAAAGAGAAGAAAAAAAAAAAGAAAGCAAAGAAAGAGAAAAAAAGGAGGAAAGAGAAAAAGAAAAAGATAAATTAAAGAGAGAGAAAAGAGAAAGAAAGAAAGAAAGAGAAAACAAAAAAGAGAAAGAAAGAAAGAGCAAAGAAAAAGAGAAAGCAAAAGAAAAGAAAGAAAAAAGAAAGAGAAAAGAAAAAAGAAAGAGAAAAGAAAAGAGAGGCAGAGAGAGCTGAAAGAAAGAAAGAAAAGAGGAAAAGAAAAAAGAGAAAGAAAAGAAAAAGAAAAAGAGAAAGAAAGAGAAAGAAAAAGAAAAAAAGAAAGAGCAAAGAGAAGGAGGCAGAGAGCAAAGAAAAAAGGAAAAGCAAAGAAAGAGAAAAGAAAGAGAAAGAAAAAGAAAAGAAAAGAAAGAAAGAAAGAAAGAGAAAAGAAAAAAAGAAAACAAAGAAAGAGAAAAGAAAAAAGAAAAGAGGAGAAAAGAGAGCAAAGAAAAAAAGAAAAGAAAGAAAAGAAAAGAAAAAGAGAAAGCAAAGAAAAAAGGGGAAAAGAAAAAGAAAAGAGGAGGCAGAGAGCAGAAAGAAAAAAAAGAAAGAAAGAAAGAAAAGAGAAAAGAAAGAAAGAGAAAAGAAAAGAGGAGGCAGAGAGAGCAAAGAAAAAGGAAGAGAAAGAAAAAGAAAAAAAAAGAGAAAGAAAAGAAAAGAAGAAAAAAGAAAGCAAAGAAAGAGAAAAAAAAAGAGAAAGCAAAGAAAGAGAAAAGAAAGCAAAAAAGAAAAGAAAAAGAGAGCAAAGAAAAAAGAGGAAAGCAGAGAAAAAAAAGAAAGGCAGAGAAAAGCAAAGAAAAGAGGAGGCAAAAAAAAAAGAGAAAGCAAAGAAAGAGAAAAGAAAAAGGAGGAGAAAGAAAGAGGAGGCAAAGAAAAAAGAAAAAAGAAAGAGAAAGAAAAAGAAAAAAGAAAGAGAAAAGAAAAGAAAAGCAAAGAAGAGAAAAGAAAAAGAGGAGGCAGAGAGAAAAAAAAAAAAAAGAGGAGGCAAAGAAAGAAAAGAAAAAGAAAAAGCAAAGAAAGAGAAAAAAAAAGAAAGCAAAGAAAGAGAAAAGAAAAAGGAGGAAAAGAAAATGAAAAAGAGGAAAAGAGAGACAAAAGAAAAAGAGAAAGAAAGAGAAAAAAAAAGAGAAAGCAAAGAAAAGAAAGAGAAAAAGAAAAAAAAAGAGAAAAGAAAAAAGGCAAAGAAAAAGAGACAAGCAAAAGAAAGAAACGGGAAAAAGAAAAAGAAAAGAGAAAAAAAAGAAAGAGAAAAGAAAAAAGGAGGAGAGAGAGCAAAGAAAAGAGGAAAGAGAAAAGAAAGAAAAAGAGAAAAGAAAAAGAAAGAAAAAAAAAGCAAAAAAGAGAAAAAAGAAAAAAAGAAAGAGAAAAGAAAAGAGGAGGGAGAGAGGGAAGAAAAGAGAGGCAAGAAAGAAAAAGAGAAAGCAAAGAAAGAGAAAAGAAAAAGAGAAAGCAAAGAAAGAGAAAAGAAAAAGAGGAGGCAGAGAGAGCAAAGAAAAAGAGAAAGCAAAGAAAGAGAAAAGAAAAAGAGAAAGCAAAGAAAGAGAAAAGAAAAAGAGGAGGCAGAGAGAGCAAAGAAAAAGAGGAGGCAGAAAGCAAAAGAAAAAGAGAAAAGAAAAAAAAAAGAAAAAAGAAAGAGAAAAGAAAAGAAAAGGCAAAGAAAAAAAAAAAGAAGAAAGAGTAAAAAAAGGCAAAGAAAAAAGAGAAAGCAAAGAAAAGAAAAAAAAAGAGGCAAAGAAAGAGAAAAGAAAGCAAAAGAAAGAGCAAGAAAAAGAGAGAGAGCAAAGAAAAAAAAGAGGAGGAAAAAGAGAGCAAAGAAAAAAGGAGGAAAGCAAAGAAAGAGAAAAAAGGGAGAAAAAAAAAAAAAAGAGTAATGAAAGAGAAGTAAGAGTAAAGAAAGAGAACGGAAGGGGAAAAGAAGGAGAAAGTAGAGATAGATTTGAAGAGGGTGACATAAACGAGTCATGAAAAATTCCAGGAATAAATTTCAAGAGCCATGAAAACGTTAAAGAAATAAAGAAAAAAAAAGTAAGTGAATGAAATATCGAAAGACGAAAAATGACAAAAGAAATATCTGTGAATGAATTACAGGAAGAAAGTGACACTGAGCGAATTATTGATGTAAATAAACATAGATGCATGAATGAATTAAAAATAAAAAGAAAAAAAGACAAAAAAATAGATAAACGAACACGAATTTTAAAGAAAAAAATATGGCCAGGAATAAATTAGAGAAATCATGGCCCGTGAAGCAATAATGTCAACATGGAGTAACGAATAAATTGAAAGAAAACTATCCATAAATGAATTAAAGAAGAAAGGAAAGAAGGAAATACGGACATATTTGAAGGAAATCATGACTGAATAAAACTATGATTATATATATATATATATATATATATATATATATATATATATATTAAGCACCCCACCCCAACCTAACCAAGGCGGGAGTTTAACTAGCATGCAAGGGGTTACAGAGAGTAAGAGTAATGAGAAGTGTTTGGAAAAAAGGTTAAAGAAAAGGACAGGGATCAAGGTCAAGGTATCAGAAGATGTCGATTGACATTACATTTGAATATTTGAAGATTATAGCTATCAGGGAAACAAGTGATAGGAAGGGAGTTCCACTGACGGGAGGTGTGAGATAAGAAGCTGTTGGAGTAGCAGAGATGGCTGCATTTAGCCGTTTCGATAATGAAAGGGTGAGACGTGATGCCAACTTAGTAGCACGTTTAAATTCATGCAGTTTGAGAATCAGTGAAAGTAGTTCGTCGGAGCAGTTATCATGAAAATGCTTGTAGGAAAGACAGAGGGAAGCTACAACACGACTGCGAGAAAGTGACTGTAGATGGGATGCCAGATCAGGATCAATCACGTTGGATATCCGTCTCTGGATTTTATCGAGGACTTCGAGATGAACAGCGGGAGCACCAGACCATATATAGCAGCAGTACTCCATGCAAGGACGAATGGTTGATTTGAAGATCTGAAGGATTGACTCAGGCGAGAAAAACTTTCTGGTGCGACAAAGAAAACCAAATTTCTTTGCGGTAGATGAAGTTATAGATTCAATGCTGTTCCACTTTAGGTCAGTGGACAGCGTGAGAACAAGTAGGCGAAGAGAGAGACGCTCTCGTTGAGCTGAACATAAGCCATCCTCATGGGAGGCAGGGATGGTTCTCTATGATATAGATAGATAGGTAGATAGGTAGATAGATAGATAGATAGGTAGATAGGTAGATAGATAGGTAGATAGATAGATAGGTAGGTAGATACACATTACAGAGATACATACATACATACATACACATTACAGAGATACATACATACACATTACAGAGATACATACATACACATTACAGAGATACATACATACACATTACAGAGATACATACATACACATTACAGAGATACATACATACACATTACAGAGATACATACATACACATTACAGAGATACATACATACATACACATTACAGAGATACATACATACATACACATTACAGAGATACATACATACATACATACACATTACAGAGATACATACATACATACATACACATTACAGAGATACATACATACATACATACATACACATTACAGAGATACATACATACATACATACACATTACAGAGATACATACATACATACATACACATTACAGAGATACATACATACATACATACATACACATTACAGAGATACATACATACATACATACACATTACAGAGATACATACAATCTCAGATAGAAACAGAGAGGGGAGGAATGTTACAAATAGTTAAAACAGCTATTTAAAAAAAATGCGGGCTAAAAGAATAAGAAATTATCCATTAACATTTTCCATTTGTTAGGAAAGTGACCGCGCTAGTGTAAAAAAGACAAATATTGTTACGTTATTATTCTACTGAAACTACTTGAAGATCGCTTCTCATGCATTGGCAAAAGAAAGAAAAAAATAATAATCTCACTCTGAGTATTATTATTCGTTGATCAACTGATACAAAACAGAACATGGGATAACCTGGGTTCGACGCCAAACGAAATCATATAAACACGAGAAACACGAAGCCGAGGAGTGGTTGTCATGTCAGAATTTGATTGAATTATAGCATTTGATACCATGAAGTCATTCGGAATCTGATATGGTCTCTTTAGCGAATTCGTTCGCACGAGACTCACATTTGTTGGCTGTGGACAGCATGGACTTCTGGCTCAAATGAGATGACCCGTCAATCATGTAAAACAGAATCATTTAAAAGTAAATCGGAAAGGCCGGCGATAGGTGGGAGTGGATCTAAATAAAAACTACATGATAAAGAGAAGAAAAGACAGAAATAAATGTATTAAGAAAGAGAGGAGATGAAAGACGAACAACGAGTTCCTTCGTATCTCAAACAACATCCCTATGAATAACCTCGAGGGAATGAAATATTAGCTTCTTTGCCGCCTTTATTCACTGACTTACATCAGATCTAGCCTTTGAATAGGAAGCCTCACTGTGAGTTGCGTGTTCAACGTTCAGTATACGTATCAGATCTATCTACAGAATCATATTCAGCAGTAAAATCTTAGGCTGTCGACAGATATAATATAGAACTGTCTAAGCAGACATATGTATCCTGTAGTCTTTACCGAGGGAATACAAAAAACGGTTGTTACCCAGGGTGTCATATACTTCATATATTTGATGGATTGGTCTAGTTGTTAGAATCGTGGTTGTGAGGCGGAAATAATTAAAAATTTGTTTGCTGGAAACCGGTAACTACAAATTTGAATAAATGAAGATAGTTTCGGAGAACTATTACTATCGTATTGAATTTAGTCTTTATTAGTCGACACTGTTTGGCTTTGAGTCAAACGAAGCTAATCTTGATAAATATTATGGTATTCCGCAAACTACTCCTGAAGTGAGTTCGATCCTCATTAGGAGATATATTCGAAAGCTTCAGATGTGCAAAGTATATATGTTTTTTTTTGTTTAATTTTTATTTTTGAGTGGTTCTGTTGATGACTATCTTTAACACATTTTCATCCCCAAGAAATCAGTGATAAAAGATATTTTAAAAGCAAGACGCCACAAAATAAAATGTATATATGTGGTTGAGGTAGTTCTAAATCAGATACTAAATTTCCAGTATTGCTTATTAAAAATATATATTATCTAATTCTTACATGAAGTTAACGTTCCCCTTCTTTTTTATTTGTTTCAGATATATATGATGTAAACGCTTTTTGCTTTGATTTTAAATACGCATTTCCTTTTGCATTTCACTTGTACTTATTTTCTGAAACGATAGCTAAATACGTTTTCCGTATACCAGATTTATACAAAAGGTTTAGACGCTTATGTTATGAAGAAAGCTTAAAAACATGAGGTTAAATTAAAGTTAGTTTTGATTTAAAACAAATGATGCAACGCACGCCGATAGCGTTATTATAGATTGGAGGGAAAAAAAAAGGATAAATTTTCTCTTCTAGTTCTGTTTCATTAAAAAAGGTGAGCCAGAGGATGTTTTACTATCGGTCTAAACTCTAGACTATTTAAAAACCAGGGGCGTACGGTCATATCACGTCGAAAAAACAGGTTCTCGTCCAATCACCAAAGTTAAACAAAGTTGAGTCTGGTCATTACCTAAATGGGTGGCCGATGGGGAATACCCGGCGCAAACACACCCGGGAAAGTTATAAATACTCTTCTCTCCTCATACCTATAGGTTAATTAGTAGAACTTGTATCCGTAGCATTCATTGTTATTTCTAAAAATTTCTTACAATGTAAAAATATTTTCTAAATTTATATACCCTGCAATAAGTAGGTTGCAATTTCAGTGTTTCATATATACATATTATATATATATATATATATATATATATATATATATATATATAAAAGAGAGCTAACATAATTATTACAGATGATAGTAATTATGATTCGATCGAGTAAGTGTGTATGTTGCTTAACCCTATAGACACCCTGTGGAGTATAGGTTCACAGCGAAACGGGGCGTGGTTTTTTTTATCATGTAAGCTTTTTACAGAATGGTGTTGCAAATTCCACACCTACGCAGGTCTTGAATTCTGTGTAATATTCCCAAAGTCTGCTTAGCAGCCAAATCTAAAAAACTCAGTGTACTCTTTTATTAACCATTAGCTAGAAGAGATGGAACCATAACTTTCAACCAAATGGCTCGGCTAGAAATTGATATCAACACGTAGATCCGGTTACTATTCTTTTCTGCAAGATATTCCTGGATATCCATATTTATATTTTATCATTTCAAGAAAAAATTCTTCACATTTTTTTTAAGCATTTCACCCCAAGCAAAGGGGGAGTGCCACGAGCACGCAAGGGGTGACAGAGAGTGGGAGCAAGAGTAAAGAGGCGTGTTTGAGGAAAGGATGAAGAGTAGGACGGGAATAGATTAAACATCTGAATATGTCGATTGACATTGCGTTTGAATATTTGAGAATTATAGCTATCAAGGAATGATGTGATAAGAAAGGTGTTCCACAGACGGGAGGTGCGAGACATGAAGCTATTGGAGTAGAAGAGACGGCTACATTTAAAAGTTTCGACAGTAAAAGGTTGAGACTGAGATGCAGTTTGGAAACCAGCGAAAATAGCTTGTCGGAGCAATTACCATGAAAGTATTTGTAGAAGGACGTCTGTGAGAGAGCGACTGTAAACGAGAAGACAGATCAGGGCCAATCACATTGCATATCCGTATCTGGGTTTTGTCGAGGACCTTAAGACAAAAGCAGGGGCTTCACACTATATATGGTAGCAGTATCTAATGCAAGGATGGTTGATTTATAGATTTGAAGGATGGACTCGGGCGGGAAAAACATTCTGGTGCGACAAAAAGAACACACTTTCCTTGCAGTAGATGAAGCTATCGATTCAATGTATTTGTTTCATCTCAAGTCAGCGGACATTGTGAAACCAAGCAGTCGCATAGAGGTGCTATCGTGGCGTCGAGCATCAGACATTCTAATGGGAGGAAGGAAGGGTTCTCTGTGGTGGTTAAAAGAGAGCTGTTTTGTTTTAGGGGCATTTAAGTTAACCAGCCATTTCTTGCCCCAGTCAACAACAGATTGGAGGTATTTTCGAGACCAACGGCCAGGTTAGTTT